TAACTGTAATGAATTTATTGTAAAGTGTCTCTTACATTTACAGAAAAAAAATGAAAGTAATATGTAATTTTACCCCCACCCCCAAATCAGTACTGAAAATGTGACACCAGAACCGCAATATGTCCCAAACCATGAACCACGAACCTTGAACCTTTAAACCCTTAATGTGAACTAATGGGGGTCCCCAGGACAGGTTTGAGAAGCAGTGAACTAAGGACGTTTTTATTTATTTATTTATTTATTTTACACCAGCCTTTTAAGAACATTTGAAAAATTAAAAAAACCTTTTCCCACTATTATAAAGAACCTTTCATGGAAAGAAATGATTCCATGGATGTTAAAGGTTCTTTAGGGAACCACCATTTTTCAAGCAAGAAAAAAGAAAACACACTTTGTTTGACTGTACAATGTATAAAAAAATTTAACTTGTTTCTAGATATTAATCAAAATCTGCTAATGGGTAATAATGGAACAGTTTTAAAACGTTTTTTTTCTTTTCAGTATTGTATACAACAGGATCTGCATTTTAATGGGTTTAAATAAAATATTTTTGTTATAAGAGACAATAAAAACTAATTTGTGCATCAAAATCACACCTTTCATGGATTAAAAAATAAATAAATACATTTACAGGTGATTTTAATACAATGTAAATTAAAATATGAAAAATCCTATCAGTTGTTTAAAAGATTAAGGCAATTATCAAAGTTTGATGAAATCTTGTTTAATTTTTCAATAAAAGAGGATGCATTTTTACATATTTTGTTAAATTACCCCTTTTGATCTATACACATTATTTATATCCTTATACTTTATTTGACACTGCATATAACATCCAATAAAAAAAGAAGAACAAACTATGCACTGTCAAGATAAAAATCTGGAAATATTCTGTTAAACTGAATATGTTACTACTGATTATTTGCTCTGACTGGAAAAAATATATAAGTACATGATTTGTCATTAAGCTCACATATTTTCAGCTACAAGAGCAGCTGATCAGACTTGGACTTCCCAGCAATGTCAGCATGCATTTGAGAGGTTATCGTACGATCAATCCCTGAGGGACAAAGACTGCATTTTCCAGTACAAGTTTGTGCCTTAGTGCTGCTTACTTGAGCATGAAATTATAATCTCTGTTTATGAGTTATTAACTATTTCTAATCTTAGTTATTAAAACCAGTTTTATGTTGTTAATTTACCTTTGAAATTAGTGAAGGGTTTTTATCAATACTTACAGAAAATGTATTTTTTATGTTGTCAGAATGATAAATGATAATTGTACAGTACCATATAGCTGTACATGGACTGAACGATAAAATTATTCATGTAAAGGCAAAGTGAAACAATAAAATTATACATGTTATACCAACAATCTAAAATAAAACTGTAAATCAGAAAAATATAAATGTGGTGATGTGAAAGCTGGTGATCTGAAGCTCGCATTAAAGTGGTATTGAATGTCAAAAAAATTGTTTTAAAGATTGAAACTGTTCGAAAGGCAGGTGGTTTGTTTTGTGGTTCTTACGTTTCAGTTGAACAACCAAAGGGACAAAACCATTGCTTTAGTCCCAGCTGCTCTGCTTTCATGCATCCAAGATAATGAACCATTTATTTGGTATGCAACAGATTGCACATAAAGAATATGGAATAATTTTGCTCAATCCACAGTGTGCTATTATTTTAAAAAGCCAAGATAAAGCTGTACTTGTTAGTTTTGGTCTATGATCAGTATCCCCAAGCCAAATCTAAACCTTAACTATTAGTGAAATGAAATCAGGTATCTTGCTGTGTGATATGTCCTGTTTAGTTTTTAA